ATTCTGTGATTCTGTGATTGTGCTGAGAAATGCTGCTCTTCTCATATTGTAGTAGGTTAGTATGGTGCCATAGTAGAAATTGCCTTAGAAAAATTATGTTAAAGTTTTCACTTCTCTTAGGAAGTATAACTTTTCAGGCTCTGTTCACAGACTTTGTCTCATATGTCTTGCACCCCTTCTGTTCTTCCAGGACATTGTTGGCCAGCTGTCCATTTGGGCAATACTGAATATCACTGAGGCCAGTACTGGACCACTTAACTATTTTTCCATGAAAGAAAACAATTTTAATTTTACCAGTACAGTGTTCATCCTCAGTGCTGACACCTGCTTTAAAAATGTGCTTGACAGCATTGGCAGCAAAAAAATACTTTGCCCTAAAATAAGGGATTCAGTGGGAGCAGGATGATGTTCTTCTAGGTGAATCCCTTGTGATGGGGTGATCCTTTCACTTTAGCAGCTCTTACCTGAGCTGTAGAATGAGATGGGTGCCAGCAAATTCAGTTTTACATACCTTAAAACCATGTGAAATGTACTGTGTATTTAGCTTTTTAGGTATATCTATATTTAAACTCATAAAGTTTCAGCAGTAATGTCGATATATTTTTGGAGTTCTGCTAAATAAATTTTTATGTCCTTACATTTGATTCTGGACTTCCTTTGACTGTGTATCTTTTACTTAGTATAACTGTTCTTGAAGCTAGTGTTTCTTCATGTGTGCGTATTTTATAATATGCAGAGGTGTTTGTAGATGTATTTTATGTGGGCATTTCCTCTGACCAGACATGCAGATCTTAAAATTTTGTATGCAATACTGTAAATGAAATCACAAGGTAGGAGACCTGCAAGAGGGTTTTAGTCACCTCTTTGCAGACTAATAATATATATAAGACAATGTAAAAGCTCTTTTGTAAATGCAAGTTTGATTGCTTTTCACAGCTGTATGCAATGGAAGCCACTAGAGGGAACTTTTTAACTGCTAACTGTGTTTGCAAAAATAATTTGTAATTTACCAAATAAAATCATAGCATATAGACATGTGTGTTTTTCTTGTTTTATAATAGTGCCTTAACTGAAAAAATTGTGTCAGTATTACCAAAAATGAAGTGTCCTCATCGTTTGGAACCACATCAGATCCAGGGACTGGATTTCATTCATATATTTCCTGTTGTACAGGTAAAAATTTTGTCATGTATAGATACTTTGCTGAAAAGGCCATAAAACTTTCATAAATATTTTAACAAATATCTGTATTATGGTTTGTCTCTTTATTTAGTGAATGAATAATCACAGCGAAGTAGTTTAAATGAACGTTTTTAAAGAATTAAGTGATGCTGTGGATGATAGAATGTTGTGGATGGTAGAATTCTTAAGTATTGTTTGATCCATGTGTAAGAAAAACACAAAACAAACTCTTTAAACCCTTTGAAATGGAGTCAGATTCTGCCTTTTGTGGAACATCTGCTTAAAGAAACTAAAGTTTAAGCTTGTTTTGGAATCTCATAATCTCCTTTGCTAGGCTAGGAAATAGGACAAAGTAGTCTGTGTTCAAGCTTATGGAATAAGTTGTGAAAATAGTCACTCGATCAAAAGGATATGAATAAGGTAAAAGCTGGTTGAGGTTGTTTCTTTAAGCATAATTCATCCTTCATTCGTATCACTTCAGAACTGTATGGGTGGAAAAACAAATTGCTCTGATGTGTGATCTTGTTACTGTGTATTTGTTGAGCACCTCTAACTGACCACGTGCGTGCTTGTAGTTCTTTTTTTTTAAGGTTTAAGCTAACACATGATGTGTTCCAGTTCCATGTGGTATCTTGAGAATCCTTGGTATGTGGTTATCATTTTTTGATTTAACTTCCATCTGCAGGCAGAAATGTTTCTTTGATAGATAGGGAAAATGGAGAGTTAAGCAAGCTGCTTTTTCATTAAACATCTCCTTACCTCCTGCCTATGAAGGAATTTAGCGAGTGAGAGTTTCGTCTAAATTCCAGCTTGTAAGAAGTGGGAAAAACTTCCTGTTGTCTCTTTCTTGTTATCTTCTAGTAGGAGGCTCCTGAGGAAAACCACACTTAACTGCACTCCCCACAAAAAGTTGTGTGGTGTGTGCTGCTGTTACACAGCTTTCAAGCTGTACTGATGCTGCCTAAGGTGGGAAGTTTGTACCTTGTTAATGTGATTTTTTACTTCTAAACTTGTATTTTCCTACCAAAAAAAAAAAAAAAATCATCCCAGCACAGGTTAATTTCTTGCCCTGGTGACTTGATAGCGATGATTATGATAATGGATGGTTACATTTATCAAATAGAAGAGTTGTCTCACCGGAAAATAATTCATCTCCTGAAATGAGAATATAAACTATTACTCTTGCTGTAAAAATTTTAGCGCTAGGTTTTCTCTTCTCTGACCTGCTTTATCTAAAATGATTTGGGATATTACCTCTGGAAAGAAGAAATATTAATTCTAAGCAGGGAGGAAGTTGGCTTCTGGGTTTCTTCTGGAGCAGTGATTCTCAGTGTTAGTAGCTGGCCAGTAGGTGGTATATCTAATCCATGCTTGGTGAAGAAATCTTTCTTGAAGACCTTGGTTTTTTTGTATGTAGAGGATCTTTTTTAGAAATTGTGACTTTCTGTGAGGTCCCTGTGAAGTTCTGACTGCTCCAAATACTGTTGGTTCTTCACCTTGTCCTAACAGAGACAGGCTTTGAGGAAAACTTCTGTTGGTGTCACCAGTATACCGTGTTCTGAAAAAGACCATACAAGAGCTGTAATAGGCTGACCACACTGTGGCATGTAGGAATTACGTATTTGATAATGACACTTTACTCAGTGCCCTGTTAAATTCAAAATTTCACTTGCTGTTTCTAAATCTCAAATCAGTCCCTAAATAATACAGAAGCTCTTTCCTCCACCCAGAATTGTGTCCCAATAGCTCTTACACCATGCAAGCTAGTCTGGTGAACTTGATGGGAGGAATTTAGATGAATCCTTCCTTCAGAAAAGTTAGATTGACTTGGCTCACTGCCATAGAATGTAGTATAACTTAATAATAATAATAAAAAAATTGCTACAAAAATATCCCAGTGGGCCAGAATGGTGCTGTTCTTTCTAATAAATGCTGCTTATGTTCACAGAGAAAAGTATGTACACAGTCTTATGTTGAGATGTGCTTTGTAATTAGTAGTCTGTATTTTCATCTCTCTTGTTGTCATCATCTTCCCCTCACTTTCCAGGGGTTCATGGTTATAGCACAGAAAACTGTTGCTGGTTCAAACGTGGATTGATCTGATCTCTTATGTGACCTCCTGCACAGGCTGTCAGCAGTGCACAAGATTTATCTTGTCTAACATTATTTGAAATGTGCTTCAGTCTCTTGGGGCTTTTTGTGTGGTCTTATAAATGTCAGAAGTCTTTTTTAATTATACGTGCATGTGGTTCTTCTTGAATGCTTCATAGGCTTGAAGATATGTCTTTTTGCAGTGGGGCTGTAGTTTTTGAAAACAGTAAATGATCTATAGTAGAAATATGATAGAAATGCATCTGTCCTAACTGTAATGGCTTCTAACTGGGGTACAGCTAAGATTAATGAGATGAGGTCGTGTTCCAAGTGGTGTCTTCTGTCAGAGGATAATGGACTAAGGATACAAGACAGGTTTGGTGTTGGGTCCTGACACTGAGAGCCCAGAACATTTTCTGTTCAACTTCTAATTGCTTCAAATTCCAGAAGAGTTCCAGCCCATCTCCTCCTACTCTGACTGATAGATCTGGGTGCTGTGAACAGTTCAAGCTTGCTTTGTAGATGGATGACCATACCATAGCCCGCAGGCTGTATAAAAGACATCTGGACTGTCTGTTTGTTTTAAGGGTTTCTTTGGAGTAGAGGGATGAACCTGTATGCATGGAGAGTTACATTTTTGTATATGTGCTGTGAATCCAACACTTCCTAGAACTGAGTGATTTATTATTTATTCAGTATGGCCTGCTTAGTAGAAGGACAGCATTGATAGATTTTAGAGTACAGTAATGTTTTGAAGTTTTTGAATGTGGAATAGACTCTATGTTGTGCAGGCTGGCACAGCTGAGCCCTGGGTCTGGTGAGTTGTGAGGTGTGCTGGCTATTCCGTGCTCTAGATGAAAACAAAAAGCCAGAAAATTAACATTCCTTTGTATTGTGAACTACTGCTGTGTATTTTTCTATATTATGTCTTATTCTGTATTTTGATAACATGTTATTAATGTTTAACAAGTAATAACAATGAACACTATAGATAATATAACTACTTAGGGTGGTGAAATGTACTTTGTTAAAACGTATTTTTACCTTAAGTAGTAGATTTCTTCTGCTAGGATGTAGGATTTATGCAATTCAGATTTTTTGGGAGGGCACTTTAGGGTTTTTTGGGGGGGATGTACATATTTATTTTTTTTTCTCCTTAAAAAGATGGAAGCTAAAAGAATAATGTCTAAAGCGGCCCACATCAATTCCTGTTCCACAGATGCTCTTCATTTTCCTTTTTGGAATGATTTTGTTGACGATACAAATATTTGGATGACAGAAATTCATTTGGCAAAGTTCCAATGAACTTTGCTTATGCTTGTGTAGCTTTCATATGGTTTTGTTTATAAAAGAATTTGTCAACTAAGAATTCCTAATAGTTGAAATTTGCAATGGAATTTTCTTTCCATGCTTACTATAAGAAATTAGAACGTAAAAGCAAGTCAGAAATAATGCAAAAAAACAACTAATTTTGCGATAGACTTTTTACAAATAACATTCAAAAAAGATTTTTGGGATACCAGGCTCTGCTCCAAGGAGCTTATAAGGGAAGGCAGATTGATCTTCTTTGGGCTAGTGAATCCCTCTGTAGTATGAACAGTATGGTTCGTTGAGGTTTGTATGGTTCAATATAGTTCAACAGGATGAAGAATATTTAGGTTTTTCCATGTAAAACTTTCATTGTGAGAAAAGTGATGTGGTTTCTTAGCTTATGCATTATCTGATTGCTCAGCTGAGCTTTTTAGTACACAGAAGAATAGGAAATGTGAAGTTTATAAAATAGTTAATGCTGAATCATTTTGTTAGGAGTAGGTCCCTAAGTTACTATTGTTACAAATAAATTTTCTTGTTTGTATGCTTAAAATATGCTTTTAGCTTTTATAGTGTATGAAAAATAATAATGCAGTGGTTTGGTGTTTGCTGCTGTTATTCTTCCACTTCCCACTGATACTTTTTTTCTTTTTTCAGTGGCTGGTGAAACGTGCAATAGAAACAAAGGAAGAAATGGGAGACTATATCCGTTCTTACTCTATATCACAGTTTCAAAAAACTCATAGTCTACCAGAGGTACGATTAAGCCAGTTATTGTTTCTATTGTAATATGTCAAATGCTCAGGTGCAGTACCAGAGCTTCACGGCTCTGTAATTGGCACAATATACCAGAGCTGCCTTTGCTATCTTTTTGTTAATCGGTCCTAGAGGAATCTGTGTATGAATTTGTCTGGGAAAAAACTAAAACACTATTATGACAGAGAGTTCATAGATAACAGTTAACTCTTGCTTAACAATTGCCATAGTTTTTTTGCAATGTTTGGTACTTCTCTGTCAGTGTGGCTTGCCAGGTAGCTCGCTTCTGGAGTGGATAAAGAGCTCTGTGCAGTATATCCAGACTAACCATGCGTCTGGAGCTACATTGCCCAAAATGTGTTTGAAGACACTCAGCATGCTGTGGAGAAGCTAATCTAGCTAAATGAGAATTTATATGCTGTTAATGCTCTGTAACTTGGGTTTTGTTTTAGAGTGCTCAAAGTCAGATCTTGTCTCTGTGTATCCAAACCCCAACATCTGTTCTTGAAAACCAGATTCCTAAAAAACTTCATTCAAAAATTGAACTTCTTGGGGAAAGACGGGACAGATTTGAATTAAAAGGAAATACATTTGTCTGTGGAAAATATGATTGCTGGAGGAGCGAGAGCTGCAGTTTTATCTAGAAGTGTAGTGATAAGAGTAATTTTGCACTTGATCAAATTCCTTCTCCTCTGATAGTAGTCAAATGCTGCCAGCTTTGAAATTACATGCTTAGGACAGTGTTGTGATCCTCACTTTTTCCTGTTCTGCAATAAGGATGTGAAGTTTCCTGGGTGTAGGAGGAGATCTGGAAAGAGCTTGGATTTGTGCCTGTAGTGTGGAGCCATCAGTTTAGTTCATACATATCCCAAGGCAATTCCATACTTAAAACCCAGAACACAAGTTTTGTCTCTAATTCAGTAACAGCATTAAAGGTAGATGTCCCTCATATCTCCCCTGGGAGAGACGGGGATTTTTTTAGCTTGGGGTGGTTTGGGTTTTTTGTTGGTTTTAATGCTTAGAAACTAAAATAACAGTGGGGGAAACTTCGCTTTTCGACATTAAGCCCATCCCAACTTCATTTCTTCATAATGTGGTAAAGATTGGAAATCCTGGTAGTGAGCTGGGATTGCGTTTGTGTCAGGTACTGTATAAGCAGAGGGAAGAAAAGCTGCTGATCTGGATACACTTTTGAAGACCTACCTACCTGTCTAATGAGAGAAGCAAATACTTTTCTATCTTACAGGAAATCGCTAACATTTTACCAAACAATTAATTGGGCAGCTCAGTTAGAAACTATTTGACAATTTTGTTTGCTCAATCATTAGAACGGTTGAGATTTAATCTCCATTCCTGATATTTTTAATCACCTCTGTTAATGTCTTGCAGGATGATGAATTCATGCAAAGAAAAGAGAAGGCTATCAAAACAATTACTGATATCTCTGTAAGTATGTTAGATTTTTATGATCAAGAAGCAGTTGGTTTTAGTAATAAAGTGGTGGCGGTTAATTCTTTTTAATGCAGCCGATCCTGGGTTTTCTAATGAGAAGGTCTCAATTAAGTTACGTGGTGAGCGTTGTTCTTAGAACAGGTCTCAAATGCCAACATATCAGATTGAAAACCTTTTAGGTGCACACTACATGAGTAGGTAAACCATATCAGCTGCCTGCACAGAGAGTGTAGTTCCACACTATCAAACAGAAGTCACAAGGTAGCTTACAGACTATTAAACCCTGAGCAGACTGTTTGAAGCTATCAGTAGTTGGACTATTTAAATTAATCTAAATTATTATTATCTCCTCAATTTAAATGTCTGCATTTCAGAACTTGTCTTTTTTACTACTTGCAATTAGCAATGAAACTACACACCCTACTTCAGAAATGTTTTCTTCAAGTAGCAACTGTTGGTTGGTAAAGGTAGCATCACTTGTGTTCTTCCTCTTCAGATGCAGATCTTCTAACTCTTGAATAAACTGTTTGCATTTTTTGAAAGCTTGTTCATGAATGCTTCCAGGAGTGACATGTGAAATATATAGGCTATATCACTGTCTCATACCTGAATTCAGATGCCTAGCTAGCAGCCCGAGTTTCTGGCCTTGCTTTCTCTCTGGTTTCCCTGTTTGCTTGTGACTTTGTCACTTCACCATTTCTTAATCCAACAGTTCACTGCGGTTCTGTTTTTTTGACCATCTTGATAAATTTGCAGGCCAGCATTTGAGAAGTGATGGGAAATTTGGGTATGCTTTGGATGGGACACTTCCAAGGCTCTTCAATAAGTGGTGAAACCTCACTGCTCTTGGAAAATCAATTCTGTTTCAGGTAGCTCTAGCCGACGCCCCAAACTTCCTCCATGAATAGAGGCGTTAAATGCCAGTATAAGGAACTGTAAGATAGCTTGTGTAAGGGACCAGACAAGTCATTCTACTCTTTTGCCATGTTTTGGAGGTAATTGTTTTTCTATATTAGCTACCTGAGTGCTGCTGAGCCTAAAAGATATCTATTTGAATAATTACTCTTGCTCTGAAAATTTCAATTGCATTATTTAACTGTTGTTCCCCATGGTTGGTTGTTTTCCTTTGTGTGTTTTTGTTGTTTTTTTTTTAAACTTATTGGCAGACCTACAATGAGCTTTTTACTCCAACCAGCAATACTTGTCTTTCCAGTAAGATTTGTTTTCAATTTTACAAGTTAGCTCCCTTTGTAAATGAGTATTATTGTTTGTTTGTGAACCTGTATAACCTTTTAAATTGGGAGAGAATGCAAGTCCATATAAAAAAAAAATATTCCAAATGTGTTGTATCAAGTAGCACTTGAAATTAGTTAAGCTTCTGCTTATTTTCAATTTTCAGAATAGTTGTCCTAATTTTTCAAGTGTGTCCATTTTCTACCTTTGTTGTCTTTAAATAGCACTAACGGTTCTGTATCCAAGTGGCTGATAGCAACTTTGTCACTGAAGAGATAGAAGCAAAGTAATTGCAATGCTGTAATGAGACACCAGTACCTAAATTTTTTTTAGTGTCATTTAAATAAACCCAGAAGATACTTGATTCACAGTGATAAAGGGATGCCTTTGATTGCCGAGGAACAGAGATGTTTTTGTGTTCTAATAATTTGGGGTTTTAAATTTATTCTTTTTCATTAGTGCATTTATTTGGGAGAACTTGTCTGAAAAGAAGGAATGCAATCTACTTTCAGCATTCCGTTACCTAGTAAATGTCAGGTCCATTCAAGTGCCTTGTCCAAAGTGCCATGGTGCTTGGTTGGGTTTCCTTTACATATCTACCTCCATGTTTTCTGAAATTGCTTTTTTAGAGCTCAGAGAGAATGACATGGCAAAGGTGAAGCAGTACGTGTATGCCAGATCAGGTGTTTCTTTACTGGTTGAAGCCAGTGAAATGGTTTTTACTTACCCAGTGTATTAGGGCTGTTACTTTAAAATTCATAGGTCATGGTCCTGGAATTAGATATGCATGTGTCTACTTCTGCAGCTATGGGAATAGTCCCATATTCAGGGTCCAAGAATGAAACAGATAGTGAAAAGCAAGGGAAACAAGGTACAGACTTAAAAGTTTGATAGTATTTTGCACCATTCAGCCAGCCTGTGTCAATATCTCTGAATAGTTCTCCTGCCTTTGGGCATGCAGGCTGCTCTCCCTGGTTTGGATCCATCTGCAGAGTTGATAAAGGTGTATCCTGCCTTCTCTGGATCACAGATCTCTAGTTTTTACATGCATCATCATGGTAGATAAATTTTTGACATTTGTTCATCACTGCTCAGCATATCATTAAACAAACACCTCTTCTTTAAATGTATGAGCTCTGTCAGGACTATATCCTTTACAGCTGGCACCTGGTCTTCTTAATGGAAGATTAGTTCATGAGATCTCTTAAGGCATCATGCCACGACTGCAGTCTAGAAGAACACATGCTATTTTCGGGGGAGAAAGTGCACAAGCTTTCCTATTTATCCATAGGAACTGGAAGAAGGAGAAAGTGGCCATTAGATGAAGGCTCTTTCGCAGGTCACCTTTAAATCAGTATGCATTGGAATTGGAAGAGAAATCCACTTTTGTAAAAGGGGACCAGCAAGTGTGAAAGATTAGTCTGTGGTCTGAATTCATTATTATAACTCTGGTCTAAGGACCTGCCCTGCTTTTCTCACGGGGACAATACAATGAGATTTATGGTCACGATCAGGCCTAAAGGTTAGAGAAGGGAATACTAAATATCAGTAATGGTTATTGGAATAAGAACTACTGCCGTTGCAAGGTGACTATCTAGTGAATTGAGATTATCTTGCAGTGGTTTTGTTCAGCTACTCAGTTATCTGATGCCAATACTAATGTTTGTGGTATGATGCCTACACATTATATAGAACAGGTTATAGAATGCCACCATAAAAGCTATAATTATTTTTACAACTTCCACTGCTTTTTGTGTGAAAGTACATTTTTTGGAAGAATCCTGATCATAAAAAGCTTTTTCATGTGACAGGCAAAAATGGAGCAAGATTTAATAGCTGGAAACAAAGATTACAGAAATTCAGATTACAAATGAAGTCAGACTTGCAAAGGGTAACTAACAAATTCAGGAGACACTTGACAAGGAACACTGTCTATTTTCCCTTGTCTGAAATGTCTGCTTTGGGATTACATGTCTTTAAAAAAGGTTGAAAGCTATTTCAGCGGTGTTATGGTGCAGGAATTGCATGTTGAAAATAATAGTTTATGTTGTACAAAAAGTCAGATCATGCAAAAAAAAATCTTTCTTTTTTATTTTCTTTTAGAATCTTTGCAACTTCTTGCATTGAATCTTTTGTCCCATGTGAATAGGATTTTCTGAAATTAAAAGTATACATGGAAAGCCTAAGCTTTGATTTCAGCTTTTGTTTTTGTAAAGTCTTTGTTCTAAGCATTCTGAGCCTGGCGCTCAAAGGGTTTAAAAGATACGAGTGTAAAACAGACCAGAAGAGAGGGATATGTTCCTTTTTGTAATGCTGATTATTTGATGGTGATGATTAATTTCGTTTCTGCTGTGATAAGGGGTAGAATTTCTTTTCAGAAATAGGAGAAGATAAAATGTCATCAAATTGATTGGGGGGGCACTTTTTAAAAGTATCAATTGGAGTAAAAGGAAAAAAAATCTTTGAGATCACAGATTCTTGGTTAGTTTTTTTCAGTATCTTTCCTAGCATGATAGCACTAAATACTAGTCTTCAAGTAACTTCAAACTCTTTGTTCCAGCAACAGAAATATTGCATTACAGACTCACTGCACCCTGTTTTTTCACCAAACCACCAGGAAAAATATTTCCCATCAAAGTAAATCTTATCTTGGTTCAAATTTCTAAATTGGGGAAAGCTGAGGATCTCACGGGTGTTTTTTGGTTGGTTTGGGTTGGGGTTTGGTTTTGTTTTGTTTGCGCTTGAGGTAAAATAATTTTTCTAATGTTATATAAATTTTTATAGTGGCATAGTTGATCTATATGGCAGGAGGAAGAAAAAAGGCCATGTTTACAGTGTTATAACAGTGGTGTCTATGTTAATGGTCAAGATAGCATTTTTAAATTGGAAGTAGCTTTGTCTGCAGAAAACAGTACTTGTGAATCCTTGTTTTGTTTGATGGGCTGTTGTCCAGCTATGGGATCACGTTAGGATAGCATGAGATGGAATGATTTTAGTACCAAACTTCTTAAGATATTTTTATTCCTTAAATTGCAGTAAAATCTGCATCAGTTCCATTGTAACCTGTGATTTGAGTAGATAATAATTACATTGAGTTATCTAATAAGAGATCAAAACTAGAACTAACTCACAAAGGAGGTAACATTCTAGACACTGGCCTTATCAGCTAAATCACAGGGATTTTTTTAAGATGTGTTTGTGTTATTTTTGCCTCTTCTTTCAAATGTGATGGAGCAGATGGTTGAAGTAATCATGTTTGTTGTTAAATACGCATTTATAATTTTTTTCAGCCCTGGATGAGACAGGGTCTATAGCAAATTGTTTAGAAGTAAATTCAGTAAGATTTTATCATGTAATTCCAAAAAGAGAAAGTGAAGGATGTTTATTTGGGTAAGTATACTGAGTTGGAAAGCAAACAGTGATATATATCACTCTAGATAACAATTCTTCATTTATTTTAGAAAAGCCTTTTACAAGCTCTGAATTCATTCACTGTCTTACAGGAAGTTTACAAACCCCAGAGAAAATATAAACGTCAGAAGGGAGCTGAAGAACTGCTAGATGAGGAATCAAAGGTTCATGCTACACTTCTGGAATATGGCAGGTGAAAGGCTTCATTGTAATTGTCTGTGGGTTTTATATTGTGTGTATTTAGGAGCATTGCATATAAAATTTGGATTTTTTTTTCTACTACTAGAAAACCAAACGGTTTCAGATTTACTCCTATTTGGTTTCAGATTTTGTTTGCTTACCCTGTAAAATTCTCAGTCTTCATATGTGTGATCAATGTTTTGTACAATGGTAGACCAAGTTCTGACTTTATGCTGCTAGTGGAGTATGTTTATTTAACATACTTCTTTGCTTCATAAAAATGGCTTAATTGATGCTGCTTCCAGATAGTGTCTGTTAATCAATATTGCCTCTTTGCGAGTAATCCCCAGAAAGCAGTGAAACAAGGAACTGAAATTCTCATAGCTTCTTTTTGTAGTTCTGATGTGGTCGCTACATCAGGAGGCTGAATTATGGTTTAGTGTTTTTTCTTCTTACTTTCTGCAAACTTCCATATAGAGGGAACGTTACCAAGGCTTGCACTTACCCATTAGCATTGGAAGTCCCGCTGGTTTACTCAGAGTTCTCCAAACAGCCGAAAATAGTGTTACAGAGTTTCTGTTTCTAGTTTCTGTTTCCAATTTTCTTTTCATAGTTTCCTGATATGAACAGCTTGTCTGCTGTCTGACCTCTTAATGACTGTGAATGACATTGGGATTTGTTTTTGTATCTTCTGTGGCTTCTCCCATAAAGCCGTAGCTGGTTTTTGTTTTGGTTTGGCTTTTTTTGACTCATCATTTTGAGTACTTTTCTTCTGCTGTTTTTATGCATTTGTCTGTGATATGAGGAGTGGTTCGGGACTAAGAAAATGACCAAGAACTTGTGAATTTGGGAAGGAAAGTACCTTTTCAGGATAGTATTTGCTGAGATGATCTCAGTGACATTGCAGAGTCCTAGCAGAAGAACAAATGCAGAAGAGGTATTTGGTGTTTGAAGGGCATGGAGCATGACTTGCTGGTCTGGCTATTAAAGTTGCAGAGTCCTAGCAGAAGAACAAATGCAGAAGAGGTATTTGGTGTTTGAAGGGCATGGAGCATGACAGAAGACTTGCTGGTCTGACTATTAAAGTTGGTGATATGAATGAAGGACAGTACTTACTAGAAGACATACAGTTAGTTGTTTGGCATGAAGAGCTTAACATGAATGGAAGTGGGAGAAAATTAGGATAGTTGCAAGATTTGAATGTGTTTTGGTAATGCTTCCATAATGAATTCTCAAAGCATAAAACTCTCGATCAGAAAAATATTTCTGATATAGTGCAAAAATAAAGAACATAGGAGAAAATGACAGTAGAGAGACACACAAATGTCTGTTTCATGTGTTTTGGTAGACAAACTCTTAAGGAGGATGATAGTGTGTCTGCTGTGAACCTAGTAATAAAATAACAAGAGTAGAAGGACTCGGAGATACGTAAAGAAGTCTGTAGAGGCAGTAGGGGTTACTGTCCCCTCTTCGACAATGTTAGGGGAACTAGAACACTGCTAAAAAAGGCAAATAGTAAGCTTTTGGTAGATTTAGGAGTAGAGTTAAATGTTTTTAGGATTCAAATAGTTAAAGTGAACCTTTAATTCTTTTACTGCATGTAGATGGCAGCTGTAGAAAATTGTGAAGTAGAGGATTTTTTTTTTTCCTCCTAAGTGCTTCTTGGTTGTCATAGAAATGGCTCCTTTCAGAGTACTCTGATCACAAAAGTTAATTTTCTCAGTCCAACTAATAATATAGGGTCTTGCAAGGTCCTGATGCCAAATGCAGCACTATCCAGATAGAGTGAGTGATAGTGCTGTATTCTAAATTATTTTTTGATCCTGTGGCTTCCAGCTTAAAGGTTATCGCAAGTGAGCTTGAATGTGGTAGGCAAGAGTCTGGCTTGAGGGTGGAGTGATGCCGGTGAGCATCGTTCCACTCAGTTACATAGTCTGCTTCAGATAAGGGCTCTCATTGCCACATCTTTGCATATGATCAGTTTTCAGCAAAGTACAAAGTCAGTTGCTATAATAGATGTGAAATGTTAAGCCTGGGCGGTATCTAGGTTCTCTGTTGATACAACTGATGTTTCAGTTTTTGTTATTGCTGTTCTGGTGCGGTTCATTACTCAGATGCAATTATCTGTGTGAAAATAAAATTGTGCTCCTACAAAAAATGAGAACAGATATACGATAACGGCAATACTAATTGCAAACGCTTTTACACTAATGTCACTTTATGCATATTCTGTGTGCGGGTCGTGCTTTGCCGCATTCTTTGTACTGCTAAGCTTTAAAATGCAGAGAGAAGTTAATGTTGGGGAATTCTTTAAAACTTTATGCTGTTATGCTGTAATGAAATATGACTGAATTTACCTCTTAAGTATGAGTGTTGAATAAATGGAGAACTGGTGACAATTGATGCTGCTGAGGATCACTTAACTTTTAGCCATAAAAGGCTTGTAAATAGTCCTGCTTCTGCAGTAGTTAAGGAGTTAAACTGTTGTACCTGTAAGTTAGTCCATCAGGAACATCACTTCTTTTCATATCTGTGTATGTGCTGGGTTTAGTGCTTCATAATGCTGAAGATGATTGCTTACTCATGTCTAAAATTTCTTTCTGCCTGTTTTTTCTTTAAGATAATATTTCCAAACTAACAACATATCTCAGTTGTCAATTTTTCCTCTCCCTCAAAAAAACAGAAGTATAAGAGTTTGAGTGTATAAAAAAAATTTAAAGCTCTGAATGCCATTCTTCAGTAAGAAATTGAAATTCTTCAAAGCACATAAGCATAAATGGTTTTGGGCGAGATTGCACGGACCACTTCCCAAGGCCTTCCCAGAATTCAGAAGTGTATAGCTAATAGCTGCAGATTAACTTCCAAATGGAAAATGAACATTGCTTTTTCTTTTCACGAGCTTTACATGACAATATTTTTATGAACAGATTGGCAATTCCTAATGGAAGGAGTAGATAGAGCTGAAATTATTCTGTAAATATGCTGCGGTACCTGCTTCCTTAGTTAATTTGAAGCATTCCAAAACTAACCCAAACCTGGCTGTTCGATTCACTTTTTAGTGAAACGATTTTGAAATTGTTCACTTCTTAGTGCCTTTCTTATGTTGAAAACTGATAGAAACTTTAATTTATTTGTGGAAGTTGTAAACAATAATGTATTTCTTTCATGTTACTATTGTTCTTTTAGGAGGTATGGATTTAGCAGACAAACAGGGAAAACGGAACAGGTAAAGATATACTGTTTTTAAATATTGTGGGAAGAATTGCATTGTTTTTGCTGGAGTGTTGGTTACTGCAAGATCTTAAAGGAATACAACAGAATAAACAGCTCTAACTACTATTATTACCACCTCTTAAAAATGGTTAACTGTAACTAAAATTCTGAATGTAATGAAAGATGCAATTGATTACTACCTCCTTTTATAAAGCATTCCCTTCATCTGCACTTAAAGGTTACATTTTGCAAACATTTTTCACTTAGAAGAAAGGAGACTTGGGTGTTTTATTTGTTTTGTTTTCTTTTTTAATGTGAGGTAATGAACATATCCTGTCTGTTTAATGAGTATCTTTTAACTAAGTGTTCCATGATGTGATCATTAAAGAGTTTTTTCCTTTTCTTTTTGAAGAACCATTCAGCTTGGTAAGAAATTTTATAGGCATTTTTGACATAACAAGTTATTTAATGTGATAGAGAAACATGATACCATTCCATAAATAAATCATAGTGCCTCCTGAAAGCAGCATTCTTGCTGTGCTTTTGATGATTATGGAATCATAAAATGTCCTTGTCAGAGTATTTGCAGTTCTATTATTTCAGTGCAGACATTACTTTGGCTGCAAGCTTTTATTACAGACAGAGGTAATGAAGAAATGCATTAAGCATGTCATGGACCCAGCAATACCCTGAGTACATTAAGGCTGTATACAAATTTAATATTTAAATTTTATAAATGGAGGTGTTTCCAAATGTAGACATACCTCTTTGTCCCCTCAAAGTAACTGCCAGGCTACAGTCATGTGTATAGAGTTCATTTTGTTTCTTCAAAAATTTTACTGACTTTGGAATGTTGTATATTAGAAGGCCATCACGTGTGTTGTGTGAATTGAGTCACCAGTAGGGCAGCAGTGGAAGATGAAATAGGTTAGTGGTGCAATAGAGTGACCTAGAAATTTATTCTGTCACTGGTTCTCATTATTTTAGTGATAAGAATTCTTCTGGCTGAACTAGGTAATTTTATACTTTTTTATGTTGTATGTTTGTTATACCAATATTAAATTATATTAAGTTCTAAAAAATTATTTCTGTAACACAAAACCCCCAGCTTTCTCCTATACAGCAGACATAATATTCTGGAGTAGCTAGTTGTCTTACATGGTTGGTAGTTCTTAGAAGGTTGTGGAATAAGGGGTCTTTGCACCAGACGTGTCCATAGCAAGCCAGAGACGCTGTCCTGAACAGCTGGAATACTTCAGAAGTCAGTGAGGGTTATACCTGGCTTGGCATGAATTGGAGTGTGAGGATGGAGTAGCTAACATGTAAAACAGAACAGGTATATTCCAGTTTTCTCTTTGTTGTCGTAATACTTCAGATTACTGGAATTAGATACAATATTTTCTTCTTTAAGGCTGAAGATAAAAAAATTGCGCTACCTCCAGGGCTTGCAGCAGCAGGAAAAGCTGGGCCTTGTGATGAAGATGACCTCCAGGCTGCTGAAGAGGTGTGCCATATACATAGTAGGATGTTACTCACCTGGGGGAGGGCAGCAGTTATCACCACCCAGTCGTTCTCTACAGGAAGGAAAATTTCTATGCTTAGCTGATGTGGGAGTTGCTTCCCGCAGGAAAATACAGAACCTGAAATTGATGCACAAACCTCAGTGTTTGTTGACATTTTATACCAAAAAAAATCAACTTTTGGTTTGGAATCTGAGAATTTTTAAAAGGTCAGTTTTCGGTTGATAGCGGGAGCTGAATACTCTGAGTGAACCTATACTGTTATAAGGAATTTTCCTTTATATGATAACTTTAGCCACCTCTTCTTTAACTTTCATAGACTTACTGTGCCATTACACACATTAAAATACATGTGTTATATGATACTAATTGTGTACAAGTGTCCTTGTCACTAGGCAGAAATAAGTTAAATAATAAAAGATAAATTGTTGTGTGTAATTCCTCATATTTTACCCTAGCTTCGCATTAAAACTCTGATGACTGGAATGGCTGCAATGGCAACAGAAGAGGTAAGCAGCATTTAAAACTGATACAGCTTTTTTTAGGTTATGGTTGGTTGTGGCGTTTATTCCTAAAATCAGGTTAGTGGTGAGTCTGAAGTCTTGGGATGACTGCGTTTAAATTTTCATGAAGGGAGTGCAAGTAAAAATGTTTAAATTAGGAAGGCAGTAATTTTTATGAGGCTGATGACTTAATCATTTGCCTTGAAGTGATAAAAGCAATATAAATAAGTGCCTCTTTCAAATGGTTTCTACAAGGAGAATCTCAGGGGAAAAATATCATGGAGCAGCTACCCAAGATACAGTATGATCTTATTTTATTCATCCTGTGAAGCTATCCAGAGGAGTAAACTGTTTTACTGGGGAGAGTGGAGGAAAACTGTATGGGTTTCAAGGTGTTTTTCAAAGCACTGATAAATACTTGTAAACAACACCATTAGTGCAAGACACTGAAAATAGTGGATGTGTATCTTTTTTTCAAATTCTTAATTGGTTGTAGGCAATAATATAATGGAAATCTTAGCCTGTTGTAACTTTGAAAATTCTTAAATTTTGATTTCTAGGTGCGAGGACTGGGAAGAAATGCAGTTGTTAAACATTGCTTCTGTATATGCTTAAGTCATAGAAGAAAACATAGTAATTAGTGTAGTCTCAAAGTTGATTGACGTAGTTTCTTCTGAAATCCACTGTAGAATTCAGTTCTACTTGAAGATTGTTTTTGTACTTGCATCCAATTTGAAAGGTGCAATCTTTCACACAACTACATTGTTATAGGTTGGCTCAAAATGTGCTCTAAAAGTAAATTTGATTACTGCACATGCAAAATTCGGTATACAGAATATAACTCAAAGTAAGTTTTTGGAAATCTGAGTTCAAATTACCTCTATTGTTTGCTGAAAAGTTTTAAGTGTGAAATTTCTATCAGCTAAGTTGGTTTTTTTTGCTGGGGGTTTTTTGAGGTGAAATGTTTCTTGGTCTTTTTTTATTATTACAGACTTTTAGCAAGTGGAAAAGTTTTGTGCATTTCTGTAAAAGTTAGAGCTTGGGGAAATTGCAGTGTGAAAAGCACAGGCAGTTCCAAAACTCCAAACACTTTCTTGACACAATTGCAGGGCAAGTTGACAGCAAGCACAGTTGGACAGATTGTTGGACTCCAGTCAGATGAGATCAAGCAAATAGTGTCAGAATACGCTGAAAAGGTAAGTGTGTTACCTGATTATGTTTTACCAAGTCATGTTTGATAGCTTGTTAATTTAGCCCTTAAGCTTCCAAATTAATTGCCATTATTGTCTTGAAACAACGCTCTTTCTCATATGCTGTGGATAACAGCACAGTCAGGATTCAGGAAAGTATGTTAATGAGATTTAAACATGCACAAGCTTATTCCTGAGTTGTATTTATGAGTAGTTTGGATTTAAGCCCCTGCTTGTATTTTTTCATTAATAAAGAAGGGCCCGAGTTGATACCTGTTCAAACCAGAGGTCTGAACTCTTAATGCATTTTAAAATGTTGAGTGTTAAGCACAGAAATACAGTTCTGTGGGCCTGCCCAGAGAAGAATCTAGGCCTTCTCAAATTTTTTAGATGCTGGGATCTTACTTGCACTGGGCTCCAGTTATCAGTCATGTCCTGAATCTCTTGGTTTGAATCTAGTATCATGAAAAACAAACCGGTGTTGCTTTTGGAAGTCAAGACAATTAACTGTGTCTATTGGCTCAATTTATTATGTTCAACTGTGGTTGTTTTTACAGTAATGTGAAAAGAATATCTGGCTCTTCAAGCAATTAATACATACAATACATCACTGCCAGAGATGAGTTATAGGTCGCTCTTATTTGTCGAATAGTCTTCTCATATTTCTTCCTTTTTGTTGACACATATGAGGTATTGAGCTTTCCCATTTGGGAGATAAACCCTATAACTCAACAGAGTCTATAGCAAATTCTTGGCCTTTCTTTATTATAAAGGACTGGAAGACCAGAAGCCCAAGGGTCATATTTCAATGTTATATTTCTTCTATTCTGAGAGAAAGCAGCAGGACCTTGACTATTATAGTAGAACACTGATTAATACTCTGGAAAGTAAGAACTGACTCAAGTCAAACCAAAAATATATCGCTTTTCAAATCTATTGTATGGGACCAAAAATTTGGATGTGTGTGTATGCATGCACCAGGGGAAGAGAATTACGGATGTTATCAATCAGTTTATTGAAGCATCAGCAATGTTTGGATATAGTTCTAATAGTTTTAAATCCCTGTAACTATTCATAGTTGGAAGAACACAGCAGTGCTTATTTGTCTGCCAGAGTCTTAATAGAATCCACGGGCCCAGTGAAGATAGCTGGCAAAAAGAATTTGAGATCTGATGTTGCCATGTGCCAGGACTTGTCTTAACAACATGGTATTTTTGCAGAAGATCAATGCATACAGTTTTCTGTTTTTTTCCGCTCCTTTCTGCTGTTGTGTTAACTTGCTGGGTAACTGGAAGGTAAACTGGAAGGAAGATTCTAGTGTTGTTCCTCACTCTTAAAATCCTGACAGAAAATTATTAATATGGCTTTTATCTGCCTATTCATCACCAGCTTTCTAAGGCCGATTATTCAAAGTAGCTTTGATTTTACTGTGTTTAGAAGGATTCATCCTCTGAGAATTTACAAGTATTGTCCCATATAGCAGGAGGTTTTGCTAGGAGTAGAATAAGAGAAAAAGCTTGTTCCCTGGTAAAATGAGAGAACGACTAAAACTGGGGAAGTGCCATCTCAACATTACCCCCTTCAAAAATGCCTGAAGGAGAATCCTCTTCAACAGTTTTAAATGCTGTTTGCAAGCTGCTTACTTCTTGAGAAGCTGACTGGAATCATATATCAGAGATTACTGCATACCCTACACAGTCAGTTGAAGTAACATGAAATAACCGTTTCAACCATTTAGTATGGCTTGGGGTTGTCATTCAAGGAAGAATTGGATATTCTGAATTTTTTTTTTGTTTGCAGAAATCCTGAAAGATAAAGTGAGATGCAGTGATTTTTATCTTTGGGTTCCTGAGCCTCAGGAAAGTGTCAAGGAAAAATGACAGCAAATTACGTTGAAATGACTGCTAAAGATCTGGAGTGTAACTTGACTGAAAATATATTCGAACTGTTATGGGGCTGGAGACTGTTTTTTGTTTTCCCAGTGGGCTTCAGACAGTGGACTTCAAATTGAGGCAACTATGATGGAGTTAGAGATCTAAACCTCTGAAGTCTATTTGCTAGTAGAAGATGATTGAATGTGAAGAGATAAACAAAATTATTTACTGCTACAAAGTTTGTATGTTTGTACAGAGACTCAAATTTTTCTTTTTAAATTTTTTTTAAGAATATGAAGCTCTGTAGACTAATGATTGAATTCTCTTTCTTTAATTATTGGAAGTTTGTAGCATTAGTATGTGTGAGAGAATCTCATTACAAAGAATAACATTAATTGCATATATTTCCTTTCTCCTTCCCATTTAAAACGTTTACATGTTTACAGTGGGAGGCAGGCTCTTGATGTCTAGAATTAACCATTTATTTTGGCTAGCAGTTTTGAGCTGCCATAGATTAGTGATCCTCATGCATAATTAATATGGAGTTTTAACTTAAAAAATTATGTCATAGAAAACGAGGCTACTAAAACTTATTGTTTAACTTGTTTATTTGAATTGGCTAAATGTTTTTAGGGCAGTTTAGCAGTTGCAGACAGTGGGGAGGAATGCAGAAGTGAGTCTACACTGGTCAGTGGTGGGAATAACATCTGTAAGTAGATGAGCTGAAGTATGTATCCATGTATCCCTTTTTGTCATGCTGTTGTGTCACACCAAAACACAATGCTATTCTAGCTACTAAGAAGAAAACAGAGAAAATTCTATCCCAGCTGAAACCAGGACACACAAGTAATTGAAGTTCTTGTTTTGAGATAAGAGTAGCAAATTGATAATCTTGAACAGTCAGAGACACTAGTGCTTAGATACAGCTTTCTTAAATTATGTTCAAAAGGCAACTACTGTTTCAGTCTAGTAAGAGATCTGGTAACAACAACAGTGTCGGAAGCAAAGTAGCTTCCATAATTTGTTCTTTCTTCCTTCTATGCTGAAAGATACATGCTTCTCCACAAGTTGCAACCCAGTTCCTCAGTAACTTGAAAGCTGTAGTGTTGCAGCAGAGAGGATCCTTAGCCCAATTTGACTGTACGAGGCTTGACCCTAGTTATTTTTGTTTGCAGACCAGAAAACTTTTTCTGCAGAAGCCCCCTGTATTATAGTGGTGGTTATTTCCTATTTTCAAAAAGCAAGCTTTAACAGTCCACTTCTTGAGACACGACGTTTTCTTTATGCCAAAGCTGTACTGTATGGATTTCTGCTGGTTTTGCAAGATCAGTCTCAAGACTGGTTTAGCTCATGTTTCTTTCTCTTGTATTTCCAGTTCTCTTGATTTGCATGTTATGCATATTAGATAGACTAATCGCCTGGTGAGAAGGATGGGGTCTTAGAATGCATGACATGATGAGGGAATGTGATCTGGCTAAATAATGAGAGGAAAAAGTAAATCTGAATGTGTATTTGTAGAATAGTTTTGTGTTACAGGTCTTGCTTGGAGGCATTTTTCCCTTCCTAACAAATGGAAAGAAAGTATGTGAATTGTTGGGATAAGATGTGGGTATTGGTGTTTTCTTGGTGTAGATGTACAAGTATAACAAGTCGTTAAGCTGCTCTTCAATATGAATAACATAGAAAATGGAGAAGTGGAAGACAGGTTTTGCCTCTTATTTTCATTTAAAATTAAGCTGTTAATGAAGACCTGCTTACCCGTCTGCCTAGAATGGATACTAGGAGCAAATATGAGTGAGGAATATTTCATACTTCTTGTAAAATTTTTGCTGATTATACATTGTAGTGGTTGTCAACATTTTGCAATTATTCAAAAAGCACTTAGAGTCTGTCAAAGACTTCAATACTGCAAATTAACACCTGAAATAGTTGAAACTTAACTGGTTGTCTAATGAAATATTGGAAAATGGATTAACTGGAAGAAGAAATCTGAGTGCATGAAGCAAATTAACAAAACAGATGGATTTAAGTGAGGACTTTCAAAAGGTACAAATAATGTTTAGGCTGATAATGGCTTGGACATCTAATCACTGATTTTTAGTCACTCTTTTGTCTACTGCAAATATACAATTTCTATTACAAAGGTTATTCTTGGTAAAGAATGTTTCTGGCAGCTTTCCTTTCACAATTCAGAGAAAACAGGAGAATGGATCCAGATTGCTGTCTTCATTATGTATTTATGAGACGCTTTCTTGGCAATGCGTGCTGGATTGGGTCGTTTTCAAAGACTGGTGTCCATAATACGCACACACACGCACACACACACACAAAAAAAAGCCTTAGGGCGGTAAATTTAGGGCAGTAAATGTATCTACCACACTGAGTATGTCTATGTCATTGTCATTCAGCATAAAGATGCATCCAAGCCAGTATTTCAGAATCTAAATACACAATTGTTAAAGGCTTTTGAAAGTTCTGGATCTGCTTACTGGGGTATGCAGCATCTGTGATTCAACAAGTTCAGTAAATACTACTGCTTAAGGTGGTTTTTAGCATGTTTGTGTTTTTTCTGTTTAGGAACTCTACCAGGTTTAACTGTGATGCTGGTGAAAAAAATTATTTATTTCTTCTAGTATACTGTATTATTTTCCACCCGTCCCAGGGCATCTGACTTTTATTTTTAGCTTACTTTACCTGTCACCTTTGGGATGTAATTCAGTTGTTCAGCTGCTTCCTAATCTTGATGCGAGATAAATAGGTAAGTCATTCTTTCTGTTGGATAGTGGGACACAGTACTCAATAAAGAATATCACAGGTGGTTTTTTGCATTTCCTGAGCTACTGAAGAAGCAGGAACTAATAGTGTAAGGTCCAACAAGCTGTTCTTATTGTTTATTTTAGCAATCTGAGCTTTCTGCTGAGGAGCGACCAGAAAGGCTTGGAGCAGCCCAACAACATAGAAGGAAGGTGGCATCTCTGAATAAGCAGATTTCACATAAAACCAAACTCCTGGAAGAGGTGAGTATTGTTTGTGTAATAAAGAAGAAAACATTGATAAATGTGGTTGATCACAAAGCTTTTACCATCCAGAAAAGATTTGCAAGCCATCTTCTACACCAGCAATTTTTCATGCTGAACATGTTAGTCAGTTAAAACCACAACAATATTCTATAATAAACTTTTTATCACTTCCTGTTCTTTTATATGAGTGAGCTTGTCTCACTGACTAAGGTGGGTTTTTGGCTTCTTTGTTTGTTGTGAGTGGTTTTGCACAGTCACTGCTTGGTTCACATCTTCACATTTGTTTTAGGGGGGAAAGGCTCTTGAATTTGTGACTGATGTTCTGTTCGTACCTATAAGAAAGAGTAAGAACCACTATTCCTCTATTTCAACCTACTTATGCTGTTGCCATTTAAACCCAGAAAAGTCTAAATGGAAATAAACCCAGCCATTAATGAAATGCTGCTTTTAATTATGCATATTGCTGTAATCAGCACCATGCCATCTTTAGCTTGCAGAATCTGATGAAAACACCAGAGCCAGGAATTGGAAGAGCTTGCCAAAAAAAAAATAGTACTTGAGGAAAAAGTGCTGCTGATGACTTATGCTGTCAAGTACAGCACTGCTCCAGCAGCCTTCATCTGGTTTTTTTGTTTTGCTCTGCTCTTGTCAGTAACATCTTAAGGCCTTACATTTTAAATGGTTTTACCTATTAAATGTTGGGGGTAGAGGGGCTCTGAAAGTTAGCTGTCTGTGTGGCACATTTTATGACAATGATGTGTTCAGTCTTACAAATAGCAGAGCTAAAAGAATGGTATCCTTGAAAGCCTTAGCTGCTGTGGAATAACTGTGGGAGCACTAGATTTTAAACCTTCCTGCTCAGCCACTTACTAGACCTGACTCTATTTTTTATTTTTAAAATAAGAATAAAATAGTCTCTAACCTTTATTTAAAGGATATTTATCCCTTCAAAACTTAAATCTCCTTTCAGTAAAGCATATGCTGTGAAACGTTTTTTGAAGTCTCTTGATAACATTAAAATAATACTAAATTTAAATAAAGCTGTAGAAATAAAACTTATGCACAAAACTGGAAAGACTAATTGCCTCTCCTGTTCTTTGTTTCTCTCTTCTTTTTTTCTAGCTTTAATAAAAAGCTTTAGGAAGAACTGATGGAGGTTCTTAATTTATTTTGAAAAAAAAAAAAAAGGCTTTCAAAGGGCAGAGTATGACAATGTTTTATCTGGTAAATATTAGATGGCATTTCTTTTGGAACATGCTGAACTAGTTTCTTTCTTCTTAAACTGATGCATTCCTGTTTGTGTTGCCCTTTGGCATGCACCATCTGTTAAAAATAGCGTTTTTTCATAGCCAATAGGACTACAATTATTATTTGCATTGTATGGAAACTGTCTGTCACAATTCCTCTTCATTCTAGAGTGAAATATTAGAAAGTATTACGATATACTATAATTGTGATATTATTATCTTCTGAAATTAAATACACTTCAGTAATACGAATTTTCCATGTCTGTTTATGTCAAATGTAACTTTGGTGCCCTGCCAAGGTGATGACTGTTAGTTAAAAAATACTGACAACGCCCAGCATTTAAGTGTAGGCTGAAGTATCAGGATTTCAAAATCATAATATGTGCTTACAGACTTAAATCCTGCATGAATTCCCATATTGGTTTGATTTTTTTTTTTCCCCTGAAGTAGAAACACAAATTACAGAATGAAATCTTTGGAATTTCAGAAAGGAGGAGAAAAGAAGAGGATGGTCAGTGTATCCTAAGTCATTGCAGTATCTTTTTGTTAAACTTTAACTCTTCTTTTAAACCACAAAGGCCATAAGACAAATACATATGAAGGGAGATACAGCTGTGCTGTGTGTATGTTGTAGAACGGAGACAGATGCAGCCTCTCTCAGCATTTGCTCTGAGATAACAGGTTGCAAACCTGTGCCAGGTAAGAAGCTTTGTTATCATGACTGGCAACATTTTAGCACTGCCCTCTTATAAAAGGGAGCACATTTGCTCTCTTTTAAGGATATTCTAGTACAGTTCTACAGAATTTGAGCAGATTTGGATTGTGTCCACCAGCTCACATCCATCTGCAGTTTTTCTGCAGGCAGCATGTAGACATACTGGAAGCATGCTCACTTTGAATGTATGTGTGTACTAGAACAGCACCACAGCCCTCGCATTGCGAGAGCAGTTTGTGTTCTTGGAGGCAGTTAGTTCAAGCTTAATTTGGGGGAGAACAGCCTGGGTAGACTTGTGTAGTAAGAATGGCGTTAGGAAACGGCAACAGCTAGCTCAGGTTTCAGAAAATCAAAATCTTCAGTATTGCACTAGCACACTTCTGGCTGTGCTGTTTCCTTGATCTTTCTTGCCTGGTTGAGCAGTAAGAGAGGTTGATAAACATGCTTAGCAGTTGTGGGTGGCTTTTGCGGGTATTCTGTGTCGTGCCGTTATGATTTGGAAAGCAGGAAGGATCCACCAGTGTCTGTATGCAGTGTCAATGACTGATATGTTAAAAAGCATTTTTTTCTGGAGCAGATGGCTCTTATATTCTACATAATTGTAGCGTAGTGGGACTGCTGAATTAGTAATACAGAATATGCCTGTAACTTTATATATGTTGAGTAGATCACATTTGCATGTCTGGGGCAAGTAATTTCCTTTACCAGTTTCCCTGGCGTATGAGTGAATGTATTTGTTTGCTTTCCATATACTGCTGAGAACAAGAAAGCAGTTTGGGGTGAGGAGGAAACATGTTGTAAACCACACAAAATCAATAGAGTCCTTTCTTCATTACAGATGGGGCTTTTAACTGCCAAACAAACTTCATAATCCACAGGAAAACAAGTGTTTTCTAAAGGTGTTGTCACACTGTTTGCCATTTTAACAGTTGAGAGCCCTTTAATTCTGTGTTGTATATTTGCAGTACATAACAGTCTCAGTGCTTTGTTTTTATATAGAAAAAACATGCTGACAGCTATTAGCCAAATATAATCCTTTTATCACTTTAGGAAAGTAAAAATTTTCTGGCTGAATTTTTTTTGCCACTTGCCAAAGACAGCTTTTGACGGGTGAGGTAGATGTTGAAATTGGTGACAGTCAAGACCCCTCTTTTAAAAAATGTTTGTGAAGTTCTGCCTTCAGTACTGCACTAAATTTCAGCAAGAGTTCTCATAACAAATGTTTTCATGAGATGTGGACTGCAGGCTTAAATTATAATTTTTCAACTAGTTGGAATTCTGTGTATTGGTGAATTATTGCTGAAATATATGAAAAACAATGAAAAAGCTTTCTTTTTCTAAATTTGGCTGTGGAAAGGGATGAGTGGAGTGTTGAGTCACAGCTCCACGTGAACAGTAAACTAAACCAGCATGAAAAGAAGTGGAACAGAAAGCCAAACGTGCATTTCTTTATTTGCAACATTTCTCCAGTTTCGTAACCCTTGTCCCATTTTTGTTGCTACTATTTGCAATGTTACCTTAAGTACTTTAGAAAAGAATATTCTTCTAAAATTAGCCTTTGTAAATTATTTGACAAGTGCAATATCCAGTGGTGTTTTGCAAACTGACACCTTATTAGACTTTTCATGGTTACGCAAAAGAAAATCATACATCAGATTGCTTATTTGCTATGGACATGTCTGTGGTAGGGTGCCATGGTGCTTTTATGCAAGTCTTGAGTCACCCTAACTTACTTGGAGAAGTACAAAATGGAACTCTCTTCTTAGCCTGTTGTGCAGCTAGGCTAGTATAACCTAGCTAAATAACTTTGAGCAATTTACCAGAGATTCTATCCAATAAGTTACGATTCTGTTGACATCCATTTTGTAAAAGCTGCTCTTTATTCTGGGACCTAATACATCTATAAGGTCAGATGGAAGATGTTGGCTGTTATTAATTAAATAATCAACAGGAATTCTTGCAATCAAATGCTCTCAGAGTAGATGAAAAGAAGAGACAACGTTTGTGATGGTTGGCCTATTGTTTAATAGACAACCATTATTAACAGCTCAAATATTGCTGTTCTCCATTGTGGGTGTAATTAGCGTTAATAGAGAATTAAACTCTTTTCTTTCTCTTTCATAATAGTTGCAAGCTAAGTGTGCTGATCTTCAGGCAAAATGTACCGAAGCAAAAAAGACGTTAACTGAGGTAATCTTTCTTTGTTTTTCTGTGCACTGATTCTAGCTGAGTCATTTTTGAGAAGTTCAGTGTGTGGAGGGATGTATTAAATGGTGAAGCTGTTTGACAACTTACCTTACTGATCCTATGGTGTAGGAAAGCTGAGTACCTGAATCATTTTATGCATGGAAATATATTTCAATTTATTATTAATTCCAACCCTTAGGTTAAGAGTTACAGTGAAAAGCTGGACAAGGAATTGGCAGCCTTAGAAACAATAGAATCCCAAGCAGATTCTAGGTAAGTTTCTTCCTTTGCAATCTTTGAAATTCTGTAAAATTATGGTTTTAAATGAATCATTCAGTGTTTCTTGTTTTGTCAATCTAAACAAGTAACTAGAATTTTAAAATCAAACAATTCTCCAGCTTGCTTTCCAAAGACAGGAAAATGTTACCATAGTATTCAGTCAGAATGAAAAGTGTCAATCAGTAGCTTAAAATAATTGTAGGGGTTTAAATCAGAAGAACCCTAGACACGTTTAACAAGTAGAGGATGTCTTCCTGATTGTATTTTCTTCCTATTGGAAGCCTTCATCTCACATAAATTAAAGAGGAGGGTCTCCAGATTTTCACAATAATGAAGTCAGAACATAGCAAAACCACCAAAGTATTCAGTGGAATACTACATTTTTATTTTGACCTTGGTATATCAGTGGTCATATTTGTTTTTTTTTAATTTATACCGATTTTATTGGAAATTTATTTAGAACTAGGCTTGTTCTAATGTCTTGTAGTTCTCCATCCGTTTAAATAAGAAACTAAAAATCTAATGTGGTTTTCTGGATATTCAAATTTAGCGTATTACAGAGTCTGCGAGGGCTGGTAGCCATGAATGAAAACCTAAAAAGCCAGGAGCAAGAGTTCAAAGCACATTGTAGGGTAAGTTTTATTTCTTATACAAGGATTCATTTAAAACTTGGTAAATAAGTATTATACTTCCACCTGATTTGTCCTCGTGTTGTATGTCCCTGTCTGTCACCTGCCTGTTGTTCCTCCCTGCCCTCGATTTACTGGTATTTCTAGGTTCATATTGAATATTGCCACCAGCTTGGTTTGTGGCAGAATTACGGACACTTGCCCAGTTCTGCAGTGTAAAGAAGGCTGCCAAGGCATCTGAATTAGTGTGGTCTTCAATGTGCTGTTGTGCCTCGGACCCCTTAATAACAGGCAGTTCCTAGACATATAATGCCAGATCAACCTTATACTGGTCACAGCTGTGGCTCTTCTACTTCCCGTTACTATTCTGCTGGGAGCAACTTCAGTTGGGTTGACAGGGAGCACTAAATGTAAGTTTGAGATCGGACTGTACTGGACACCCACCAGTGCTATTCACAACCTGAAATGGACTGTCTCTTCCTGGATAATGCAGCCAACAGTGACCCCAGGAGAGGTACAGGACCAAAGAGGAGGGCTTCATGAAGGCCCTTAGTTTTGGAGCAGCCCACCAAAAGAGAGAAGACTGAAATGAAGCTATTGCAGTTTTCAGAGCGTGTTTCAATTTGACAGCTTAATTACTATGTTTTGTTGTCCTGTTTACTGCCTTGAAATGTGATTGGAGAGAATTGTTTTCATTCTCTTCTATTTAAACAATAATGGATGGGATTTAATGAAAAGAAGGAAAAGAAGTAAAAAGAAATAGTGCCTTGAGGCACAGACTGAGCATAGGAACCTCATTTTCCCATGCGTACTTCTTTGGAAAGCTCTAAAGGGTTGTAGTGGTTGCAAGTAACTTTAGGTTTGTTCATTTCACAAATGCTGTATGTTGCAGTCCTAGATCATGCTATTGCTATTGTAATATTCCTTTGCTTCCACGGTTTCGTTTTCCATGTCACTCATTAGTTGTCTTTGCTGGATCTAGGATATTTGCAAGTAAGAAATAAATCTGTTCCTGTGTTAAAAGCAGACAGCTTTATGTAATGAGTAATAATGGATGCCTTAGCCTTAAGCAGGGAATGCTGTTGAATCTCACAAATCTAAATATATATAAAGTGTGTGGTCAGCTCCACAATTTTTATTAGAGGTGTATATTGTCAAGCTCTCCCCTGTTAAGAGGATAAGTCTCAATTAAAAGCAACATAATTTTTTTGTTTGTTTTAAAGGAAGAAATGGAGAGGCTTCAACAAAATATTGAGAATTTGAAAGCTGAGGCAGCGGAAAATGGGGAGGAACAGGTAAAAGCAAATGTGTAGGGTTTTGTTTTCAATTTGTGTTTTAAAATGTTGGTTTAGATCCTTCTGACACATTCTCATAAGCATTAAAATAGCTGTTGAAATCTCTGAAAAATTCTCTTCTCACCCCCTGGTAAAGCCACAGTTCAGGCTAATAATTGTAGAAATATAGTAGACTGAAAATAGCTGTATTATTCTTGCAGCATCCATAGGGCTAACTCATAGATGCTTTTGTGCCTTTTACTTCTTTTTTTGTAGTACCAGAGAATAATCTCTGGATGTTGTGTTAAGAGCAGTGAATATCTCTGACAAAAACAGGTCTTTCTCAGAAAGCATGTTTGTTTTGGTTGTTTTTTTCTTAAAAGCGGATTTATTTGAAGGATGAAGGCACAAGTTTTCAGTGGCTCAGTACATTGCATGCTGTGATCAACTGTGAGAAGTTAGGCTTTACCCAGTGTATCCAGACTGATGGCAATGAATAATGGATGAACAGAAAAGGAAAAGCTTGAATTACTTGTATTTTCAATGGGTAAACATTTGATGCATTTATGCTTCTGAAATGAGGTAGATTACAGGTTCCGTGATGCTGCTGTCCTTCTGAACACAGCATGAAAAAATTAAAATGTAAACCTAAATCTTAAATTTTTAAACAAGAAGAAATTTATATTGAAGTCCACGATCCAGGAATTCTAGAATACATGTCAGAGGCTTTATGTTCTGTCCTGGGCCATGTTTATTCTTAACCTCACCACTGAATCAAAGTATAAACATTTGGACAAGGAGTATGGACAATCTTCTGACAGATATCTTCATTTAAAGTGTGACTGCTGTAAAGCAGTGGAAAAACAATTGGCAAATCTTAAAAACTAAAATATCAAAGGCTTAAAAGCTGGCAAAATGCACTTGTTTATAGTAAAAGATGTTAGTTTTTTAATGCAGATTATGAATCATTGTTAAAAAAAAAAAGCAGCAAATGGTGGTGGTATTGTAGGAGCCATTACGTGGAAGGTAGACAAATACAGAAAACAAACCCAGTCTGCACATTTTTGCACTGCAGCACTCATATGCTACTGCAATACACAATCGTTTTGGGTTCTCAAATTCTAGGAGACGAATAAAATTCTAGAACAGCAGTACGAAAATGAGAAAGATAAACTTCAAAAGATCCGGCTGTTATTGGTGAGTAACTCTTTGCAAATTTACTTGTACAAAATTATTGACATTTTTCTTATCTTGTAACTTCTAATACTTCTTTTTATTGTTCTAATTTTAAAAAGTTTTTCTGTCACAAATCAATTACAAAACAAATTGAGCCTCAGCCAACGCTTTTCTTTTTTTTTAAATTAATATTTAGTAACAAATTATTACTGGGGGGGCTTCATCCATTTTAAGAAGAGAACAAGAAGAGGCTTTGTTTTCTCCCCTCCTAAATTTCTATTCAGGCACGAAGAAACAGAGAAATAGCCATTTTACAACGCAAGATTGATGAAGTACCCAGCCGAGCTGAGCTAACACAGTATCAGAAGAGATTTATTGAACTTTACAGTCAGGGTATGTATATCAAGCAGAAACATCCTGCTTAAGGCTAAAGCCCTGAAAGGAGGGCAATTGCATTTTAAGCATATGGCATGTAACAACAGCACTTGCTAATTTTGTGCTATTTTAAGGCTCTTTTGGTATTAATGTTATACACCCTATTTTCAAGGTTTTATAGGCTGACTATAAGAATTTCCCTGAGGGTGAAAATTGATGCTCAAGATCTCTGGAGTAAATTTTGTCTGCAACAGGTTCAGTCCTTTAGGTAAATGACCAGTGTGTTTAGAAAGTCCTTAATTCGCTATTTACAAATGAGGTTGCTGTAAAATTGAGTCGTGTTTAATTAATTGCTATTAACATTAGATTGTTTTCATTGATGTAAGATATCTGGTTCTGAAACAAACTATGTCAAGAACTACAAAGTAAAGGCAATTTCTCAAAGGGATTGTTTTCTTATATCTTTGTTTTGTAAATATCCTGCAATAGTTTGGTAGGATCAGAGTACAAATTGTCTTAACTTTTTTATAGAAAAAGTTATAAAATGGGGAAATGTGTTCAGTTGACTTTTTGGATAGCTATGTGTTTGCTGTGCATGGATAGTATGGAAAATGCAGACTGATTGAAATTTTGAAGTTGTTCTATTAAACTGAAAACAGACCAGTGTACTTACTGGTGTATATTGTTAGTGTAAGCTAAAATAAGTTTCTACCAAGAAGACCTAGCTTAATGTTTTAAAGATATTCTGCATTTATTAAATAGGTATGTGAACCAAGCTCTTGAAGGTTGAGCGGTTCTGAAATTATTATCTAACTTTTATTCAAATCCCTTGCCCTGGTGAGGCATCTCTAGTGACATAGTCGTGTGCTGTCTTCCATGTGTGTTGTCTAACTCAGTGCATGGTAGAGATGCACTTCTTTAGTGAGTACAAATCCAGTACTTCCTTCCCCCCACTTTGCTTCTTTTGTGCCATGCAGGTTATTTAATCAAGTGCAGCTATAAAGACAACTTTGTTGTCTTGCATTAGATTTTCTACAAATTGTTTTCTCTGTTGTGTCCAAGTGAATTCAGACAAATAATCTATGATCAAAGTATCTACCTGCTCAGAAGATGGGGGCTTCATTTATATATGATGTACAGGAAGATTAAGGCCAAAGAGACTTGTGCAGCTCTGGGTTTAGATTTAAGATGCTTTGAATTTTATGGGACTTTGTTTTCTATAGTACAAAATATGTATATTAACTTAGGATAACACTGCTCAGTCATGGCCAGGAACCTGCATTGTATAGGCTATGTTTTTGGAAAAATGAGCTGAAAATCTCTAGGAAGTCTGTGAAGTATGGTATTTTTTAGAAGCTTTTCATTTAGCCAGATTCAGGTGATCTTCAGAGTTGCAAAAACCTGTTTTTTTGAATTTTGATCGAAGGTGTGTTGGACAAGACAATCTTCAGTGATGCCCTCCAACCTCAGTGATTCTGTGTTAGAATGGTTTTAAGTTTCAATATTCCCTGCTTTATTTTTGACCTAACTGAACCTCTTCCCTTGAAAACATTAAGCTGTGGTTTTAAGAGAATCAATGAGACAATTGGCTTCTTTCTCTTCTTTCTTTGTCTGTCTTGCGTTACGTGGGGTCTGGTATGTGCCCATAAGGCCCCCTAAACTGGTACAACTTTGTCACCCAGTGGAAATCATGAGAAGTTTTCTTCTGAGTTGTTATGTGGAATCCACTCACAAAAGATCTCTGACTGCCAGAGCTGCTTCAACAAAGGGAAGAGCTGCACAAAAGCAGTGGTTTGGGAAATGCCTCTTCCATTTGGCAGCAGTCCCATAAAAACCAAACTAATTCAGAGAGCACACCTGAAGTAAGCCTTGTGTTTGTGCAGTTTTTCAAGAAACAGCCTGATTTCACCATATGGAAAATCTTTGTGGAACATGCTGAACAGCCCTTTGTCAAACCTGTCCCAGGCTTTGCTGAATTTCTCAGTGCTTTCGGGCCCACAGTACTCAGTATGTTTCTCAAGGCAACAGCATGTGCAGAGCGTGTCTCAGTCATACTGTGGCAATGAGAAAGCTCGTTGGTCCTGAGCATCTTGCTACTGTAGAAGTAGTTGCTGCTGGATTTCTGTCACTAAAACATTCAACTTTGAGCTGTGGGTTGCTGTTGGGCTTCAGCTGGAGAACAGAATTGTACAAATCAAAAGTTTGGAATGTCTTTAAAAATTTAGGTGTTCAATGACGTTGTGATGTGGGAGGTCACCGGTGTCTGTAAATGGTTCCATTCAAAAGCTTAGTCTAGGATATCAGTTCAGTAAAGGTTTTATTTAAAGATGACAACTTGTTAGCCTTTAGAATTTAATGAAATGAGCATGATTTCACTCGGGTTTAGGATTTTTTTTTAACCCCTATGCTTCTTCTAGGTTTGGGATTCTAGACAGTGCTTAGTATGTTAACCATAATAATTTTTGTCAACTGTACTTCTCTGTTAAACTCTTTCCTTGGGAATCACAAGTATCTTAGGTTCCTTAGGGACTGAAGAACTAAAGAATAGATGAACACTTTGCAGACTGGAGTACCAGTCATCATCTTGTAGGCCCAAAGGGAATGCATGTGTGAGCCTTACCTTCCCCACTGAGCTCCGACCAACATGTGCTATAATCACCTAAACCAGAAAGCGTTATTTGAAAAGAGAGTAATCCTATCAGCATGAATAAACTGTAAGAAAAGGAAAAAGGCTTTAAAGCAGTAAAAGCTCTCTTGAGGCATCTTGCACATATGTAGCTTGAAATATATAGTATAGTGCACTTTTTACTGTGCAGTACTATCAGATTATCCGTTTCCTATCTGTCCCTGCCTAGCCTGGCCAAGCTACATGAGGGCAGCTGTTAGCAGCACAGCAGCCTGTACGGTGCAAGGGTAAAGCTTATGAAGGAAGAATGAACAGCCAGTGGTAAGCTGATAATGCCAACATGTGTTCGCATAAAGGACTGTCAGCAAGTTGAGGCTTACTTTAAACACTGAGCTGTGTTGTTTTTATAAAACCTGATAGCTGCAAACCCTGCTGGAGATTTACATGCAGAGGGAATCTTTTTCCGGAATGTATTAAAGACTGTGTTCCATTATTGATAGTGGAAAGTATATTATATAAAGCCTACAAAGTGTTTTTACAGATTCCGTTTTACCTCATGTTATTTTTGTTATTCTACCCTTTTTTTGTTTGCAGTCTCAGCAACTCACAAAGAAACGAAGCAGTTCTTTACTCTTTATAATACACTGGATGATAAGAAAGTATATTTGGAAAAGGAGGTAAGAAAATGTTATTACTGTTTCCTAAATATTCAGTCTGTGGAGAAGGAGATAGAATTTTTGCTTGGCTTGCACCATATTCAGTCATGTCAGAGCAGAGTTAAGTCTTTGTAAGTAAAAATGAAAATTGATTTATAAGAATATTTCTAATGTTGAGGGGGAAATGATCTGTGTTGTAAAAGAAGTGTTGTTAGTACGGGATGTTTAAACTGCTCATTGTGTTCACAAAATACAAGTAGCATTTGATTAGAAAATATCTCTGTCTCGGTATCACAGGACCAAATTACCCTCTTATTCTCTTTTTGGTCAATATATTTTTTGTGAACCAATGCTACAGTCAGTAACTTTGGAGAGCGAACTCCAGCTACTGTCAGCAACATCAGAGTTAGTTCTCAGGGTCTGAACCTGCCTACACTGAAGTCACTGGTGATATTATTGGATCAGGATCAGAAGAGCAGTTTTCTGAAAGCGACTTGGTTTTTTCCCTCCCCTCTCTCCCTGCTACATAGAGTTCAGCTCTTTCTTGGGGGTGACGTAATCTGGTGGTCTCTGTTTTCTTTTTTTTTTTTTTTTTTGCAATGACAGGCATGTGACTGCAGTAAAGGTGGGGAAATAGGAGCAGTCAAGTTTTGATAAAAATGACATTACTTTAAAAATATATAATGTTTTGATACTTGAGGCTTCTCTGTTTATTCTAATTAAATATCAGATTAGTTATTTTTGTGTTACTTAGACGTATTTGTTGAGTTTGTGAGAGAAGCAATAGTCAAATTTCTGAGTGTTTAAAGACAGAGTTGCAGAAAAGCATTATACCTCTTTATGAATGTTGTCAGAATCCAAGCTGCATCTCAGTAGATTCAAAAGTAACTGTGAATAGGTAATTTAACAACTTATTTAAATAGTATATGTAAAAACTTCTCAAGTTCTGTACTGAATTGAGCCTTTTGGCTTTTTTATTGATGTGTATTTATATTTTTTGAGTTAGGTCAGTGATCAATACAAAGCAGGATCTTACCAAAGTTTAACTTGCAGTGATGATTGTTATGTGCTTCAGAAGTGCCTTACTTCTGGGAGACGTTTCAGCTTAGCATGAGAGAATACTGTTTCTAAAAATTATTCTACCTGATGGTCTCTAAGATCCTCAAATAAATTATCTTGGAATTAGCGGTGTAACTTACCTTTTCGTCTTCTGAAAATACCATTAAGAATTTTCCTTGAAAGTTTTTCAAACATCAACTTCTTACAAACCAACAATGATGATATGATGTAATGTTGGTTCCATACTGAATACTTGGGACCCGAGCGGTAAACCTTGCCTACCTGTGCAGGGGCAGGTGGTACAATGGCTGCCAGTGGTCCTGGCAAATGCCTTACCTAAGTCTGTAAGATGATTATCACTTTGTTTTTCTGTGGTCTTTCATTGTTTTTGTTTTCTTGTTGCAAATTGTGAAATGTATTTGTAATATATAATACAGCAGGTTTCAGGTAACAATACACCAGATTTAAAATACTGCATTAAGTAGCAGCTGTTACTTCAACTTCTTCCCTAGGTTAGCATTTAATACACTTTTTTTTTTTTTTTTGAGGGAAAACCTGCAAATTTAAAAGGCATCCAGAAATTGTTTTTGAAAGGGGCACATAAAAAGCAGCCAACAGAATACAGAGCAGATGTATTCCATTGCTATATAAATTGGGAGAACTCTTGCCAATATAATCCAATGCCTGCTTTGGGAGTTTTGGTTGGTTGGTTGTTGGGTTTTTTTTTTAAGTTCCAAGCTTTACTTCCATGGATATAATTTCAAAAGGCAAATAAAATGATTAAGGGTTTCTTTTATCTTGATGTCAATCACAAGAGAAAGGTCTGAATGTCTTCTGATGCAGTCTTAACTTTGTTAAATATATACTATAGTTGAGGTTTCCTTGTGTTGCTTTTGATATTAGAACCAAGGTTTCAGCAAGTAAATATTGTCTAGTAATGTACAAAAGATGCCTTTGGCATCTGTACCTCACAACGGTTTCTGGAATATGCTTATGCTTTTGCTTGTCCTTCTTTTTGACCCCCAAAATCCTTTAAAATAATAACAGGAATTGTTATACAATGGAATTTTGACTATAAAGGTTCCAGTTCTGACATGAAAGGTCTCTGTGCATATGGTTCATAGTTTTAATCAGTGAAAAATTCACTTTTAAAATGTTTTTAAACTCATTTTTTTATAATCTCTTTGATTTTGGGGGGTTCATACGCTGATTTTACTGTTTGTCATGTAACACATCCGCTCTTGCTATGAAGTAGTTATGCAGTACTACTTTTCATGACTTGAATGTTTTGCAGTATAGACCATAATTACATTCTGAAATGTATGCTTACAGGAAATACCCTGAGGCAAGGATATGGACTTGGCAAATATTGATGGGTCATGCAATAATTTCTTTCCTCTAAGTAACAGGAATTCTTAAGCATCTTAGCTGCTTTGGAGTCTGTTTAGAATTTGTTTGTTTGAATTTTTCAAAGTAAGGTCAGGAACAACAGCAGATTCTGCCATGCATGCGCTAAAATCTTCGGATGGAAGACTTTAGGTTTGTGAGAGATCAGTTTAGCTTTCCATAGCAGTGGTGCGAGTGATTCTGTTTGCAGCACTTAGGTTTGTTTAGTACAGAACACCTTGAAATATTCATCAAAAGGAGAAACTGCTTGGAAGGTTTAACCACAGGAGACATGCAAGAAGTATCCAAAGCCGAGGGAGTGAATCACATTACCTGCTACTTGGTGAATTTTAGTGCTCTCAGCAATTTGTAGAAAGCAAGAAAAAAATCAAAGGGGGTTATATAGGAAATATTGAATATATAGTTTAATTAGTTGGGGGAGTTCGTATGGAGAGCAACAAATATTCTTGTGATGTTGTTATAAATTTCTAATTCTGTCTTGATTCAGTGCAATGTTAGTATCTTATAATAGAAGCCATGCATGTGAAATACCATTCTGTACTTCTTAGAGAAGTTTGTTTTTTTTTTTTTTTTTTTTTTACGCTAATACAATCCTCTGCTTAGGCTCGTGAGTTAAGTTGTAGCTTCTTGACAGAGCTATGCTGCTAATAGCTTCAAAGCTAGCTTCTTCAGTACTGTTAATACAGTCTGGGGGGTTTTTTTGTTTGGGGACAGGGGGTTACTGCTTGGATTTGTTTCGTTGGTTGGTTATGGGTTTTTTAAAGACATTTCTTCATTTGCTATCCTGTCTGCTTTGCAGGAATAGTGAGGGATATGCCTATGTGAAACTGTTTGTTCTGCTTTATCACTACAATCAAGACAAATTATGCAAACCTAACATAGCCACAGCATATACTTGTGCAGCGTCAACACATGTTGAACACATGTATATACCATTTTACTTCATTGTTTTAGTTTGGAAAGTCTTCATGCTGGAAATTCTCAATGGTATAATTGGGCATCAGTAAAATTAAAAAACTCAATCGTGGTCCAAGACTTGCTTTCACTTTCTGTGGCTCCTCCACTGGGATAGATTTTACTAATACAGAGGGACTGTGGTTTCTCTTGCAAAGGAAGGCTCATGGTGATTTTCATATAGCTGACTGCTTCTCAGGGCAACATCTATACAGTTCATTTTTTAACTTGAATTTAATTTTATTGTCCATGAAAATTAATACCAGAAAGGACAAACGTGCATTTTCTTATTTTCATTTTTTTTTCTCCTTCTAATTCACAGGTTAGCTTACTGAATTCTATTTATGACAACTTTCATCAGTAAGTAACGGTCATTTTTCTCTTGATAGTTGAAATGAATAGCATGGTTGGTTGGAAAAAATGGGAGTGGGCATGAGTTACAGAGTCTAAAAAAAAGTTAGAATTTTTTATTAACTTAAACTATTCTATTAAATAGTTCATTAATTCTGTTGAAGCCAATGTTTGGGGAATCAAAGACTTGGAATTACCTAACTTTTATAGCCAGCATATGTTTTTAATATCTGGCTCTTCAGTTGCAGTTTTGGAAAGAAATCATTGACATAATTTTCCTGGCATTAATTTAAATATTTTTGTCCACTTTGTGAAGTTGTGGTTATTACATTATGTACAAAACATTAGACTTGAACATATTTCAGACATGTTTATTATAGACTAACTCTGTATTGAAAGGTTTTGATGAAGTGTGAAGTCTTTAGGTAAAATTGTGGTTCCCATGGAAGTTTGAGGTCAAATATCGGTCTGTGATGCAGCCTGCGTTTATTTCTCTCTGTGTTTATTTTGACTTAAGAAAAAAAAAAAAATTCCAGTATGAATTTTTGTCACAGCAGTACAGTTCAGGGGAGTCATGGGGGAAGAGATGGCTGTTTAATAGTTTTAAACCATTCTTACTATTATATCTTTCTATAATTCTGTTATGAAGGCTTCTTTTTTTTTCAGAGTAATTAATTATCTCTTATGTTCTATACACTTGTGTCCTTCTGGTTTGGCCAGAAATTTTGATTATTTTTTAAATTTTTTTTTTTCCTATTGTGATATCCAAACCTTTTAATTACAACAAAACCCAGGAATTTCTGTACAATACATGACAGAAAGGAACAGACTTGAACTGGCAGGGAGAACACTTGTCATGAGCTCTGTAGTCTCTCTGTTCCTGTCTCTTAGATAGTTTATAACAGCTGAAGAGCTGCACTGTTACCTGAAATCAGTGATTAAAACAATTAATTTTTACATAGAACACTAAGCAATGTGAATTCTTGGATGTGGGTAAATATGCAGGACAACGGTAAATGAGACACATTGTCCCACATCCCTGTCAGTTGTTATCTTTTTTCTTTCCAGAGCCATGGCATCTTCTGGTTCTCGTGAGCAGTTTTTACGGCAGATGGAGCAGATTGTAGAAGGCATCAAACAGAATCGAATGAAGGTCTGGAACTCTTCTCACTTTCTTTGCTAGAACCTGGGAATTATCTCAGAAAGCCTCTTTGATAATAACTATGCATGGACAAGTCCATTACATGAGGTGCAAATTAAGCAAGCAACTAACAAGTAGTATTTCTTTTCACATGCATAAAAATTTCTCACCACTAAAATCTTAACGAATAGAGTAGAACAGAGGTATTGTAACACCTCTCTCCTCACAGGACGCTTATACTCCTTAACTGTGTTATTGGCAGTGTAGTGATGTATATGCTTGAAACAGCTGCATGGCACCTAAGTCGAGGAGAGTTCTCACATTTGGATTGTGTGGGCACAGTCAGACCTGTGTCTCGGGCAGCTGGAGCTGTTTGAAGCCGCTTTCTGCTGCTGAAGAGGTTGTTGTGTCCACATAATAAATGAAAGGGGTTTGTGGATGAGCAGAGACCCAGTGGTTGTTCATTGAAGACAGAATTGTTCAGGATTGTTCAGTGAGCAATATTCCTGGCTTGCAGAGATGTGAGCCTTAGTTTCATTCCGAATGCTATGTACAGTGCCACTGGTACTGAGACTTCAGCATTAGCTCTTTAATTTTTTTTTTTCAAGAGCTAGCCTAAATGCTCTTTGCATTTAAAGCGCAACCCAGGGGTATCGTTTATGAAGCATCTGTCTCCCATTGTCTGTTGTAGGTAGTTGTTCCTTGCACAGTATATGCGTGCGTGTGTGTTCCTTACACAGCATGATCTCTTACCCTTCCTGTATACCAACAGATGGAAAAGAAGAAGCAAGAAAACAAAATGCGAAGAGACCAGTTGAATGATGAATACTTAGAGCTTCTAGAGAAACAGAGGCTTTACTTTAAAACAGTGAAAGAATTTAAAGAGGTAAGAACATTTTGCTAATGTAAACTGGCAAGTGTTCAGTGACCCATTTTGTCTTGACGTGTGCATTAGTATATGCACAAGAGTCCCTAATGTGATGTTTACCGCACCATGTTCACCATGTCTCTTGGTGGTTATCTCCACATGATTCTTGGACTCCGAATTTGATTCTGGAAATTCTTTTTTTCACTGATAAGCGTATCACCCCTCCATGTTAAAGGGGAAGGATTAATTTGTTACTGAGCAAGCTGTATGTTTAGATTTCCAAATAGAATCTGTTGAAGATCTATGAGTACTTAAGTATTGGAGCAAAGAGAGTTGTGGAAATGTGTGTGGATAAGGGAAGGAATCCAGAGTCTCAGCAGTTATAAATACCTTTAGGAACCAGCCTTGTGTTCTAACCACTGTGAAAGCACTGTTTAACATTTCATTGATTTAGCCTTTCCTGAGCTTTTCATTATAATGTGCTTCTGTTAATTATTGTCTCCATGATAATGAATGACAAAGTAGTGCTGCCAGGCAAAATTGTCATTTGGCTTCGGATGTTTGAGGAAAAACATCTTACTGTAATTTGTCCTGCTTTGTTCTGAGACAGTTCCTTCCTTTTTGGACAATGTACTCTGGGAGAATGACAGGGACTGTTCAGCTGGTTTTCTGACATACAGAATTTAACGTCCCAGTTGCAGAAGTTAAGTGGATTTTTTTTTTTTTTTTTTTTTTTGTGGAGGCACAAATAAGCCATTTCCCTTCCGCTGCCTGGTGAGGGCACTTCTACTCAACCTTGCTATCCTTAAAAATAAATGAAGTTATGGTTGTGGTATTGAAAACAGGTGGTGTGTAGTTATGTAAATATACTCCAGACTACTGTGGATTTTTCAAAATAAAAGGGTTTAGTTTTGCTGGTGTGAAGATATAACTAGCAGAGCTAAAAGCAACCTACCTCCTTAACTGCTTGTTTTCTGTTA